TGGGGACTTATTCTGGAGATCACTAAAAGTAAACCAATTAATCGATTGACAGAATCGTGAGATGAAGTGAACTGATGGTAAAGATTTGGTTGTAATTGAGCTCAGGTGTGATAATCTCATTCAATCTCATCCATTGATTGCTAGTATATCCAATCGTCTAGACTTTAAGTATACAAATATTTAAGGACTTACTATTAAAACTTAATTTAATTGCTTACAGAATATTCTGTTGTTGGTCACAGAATAATAGTAACTTAGTTGTGAAGTGAGCTCACAGTGTAGTCAATAAATAAGTTTCAAACAAATATACAAATTTTTTATTTTTTATTGAGACAAATGAGTGATACAAAGAGATTATTCAAATTTATAGCAAACAATGTCTTAATGAATGAGAGATGTATTCCCTGTGTTTGTCAATAATATTAGTCGGAGTGTTGTTCTCATAGATATTCATCTGTTTCTTCCACTTTGTTCTGAACACAGAATTCATTTCAAAACAAAATACTTGAAAATTAAATTCAAAACAAAACACTTTTTCATACCTTCTGTTCTGAAACCAAGTCTTGATTTGGACTTCAGTTAAGTTAAGAGCAATCGAGAGCTCCATCCTTTTGCTGACACTTAAGTACTTATCTGACTATAAAATTATAACTCATTGCTATAGTGGGAGACGAGTGCATAGAGAAAACGATGAAAAGCTTACCTGAAACTCATTTTCAAGTCTTTCCAATTGCTTAGTATTATAGGCCTGTCTGGGCTTCCTTTCGATGCTATGCCTCCGAGTCCTTCTGATGGACACATTGCTGTCAAATATATTGCTTTTGTTTGATTCACAGTTAATATGCGATACACTTTCACTCTCTTTATGGTCGCATAGGTGTTGGAAATATTGGCAATAGTTTATGAAATCAATACAATTCTGTTGACAATAATCTTCATTCACTTTGTATGCAGACATTGGCGACGAGTTATAAGACTTATGTCTCTCCGAGTCATCAGTATTCCCGGTATTACCGCTCATTATATTTTCGATAGAAAACTAAGTTTCAAATTAAGTATAAGTTTAAAACTAAAAGATATATTTGAGATAAGATACTGTATCTCAACTAAAATTCATTAACTTTTCCAGCTAACTTTTTAAATAATTAAAAGAATTAAAAATATAAAGAATTAAAAGAATAGTAAAAATATAAATACCTTTAAAGAAATATTTGATTTTGAATTCATTTGTATAGGAATTGATGAAAAATATGAATTGAATGAACGATAGAGTATAGAATCAGAGTATAAGAAGTTTATTGAAATAAAACACAGACTATAATGAGATTAAAAGCGTTAAACACCTAAAGAAATAGTAAAGCGATTCTCATAATAGTCTTCACGGGCTATACATTGGCTATGAATGAGGGGAAAGGGATGTCGTGTGAGTCGAAGCCATCGGTGATTCGTTTTGCTTCTCTCCTCCACTGATAGTTAATATGTTTTGCAATTGGGAGAGAAAAACGCATTTTATTGCTTCTGATAATAGCTGTAAATGCTTTCTAATAGGGTTTTACTGCAATTGTAGAGCAATTGCTCTCAATCTTCAGATGGTTTGCTCAAAGACTTAAGAATGAGAGGGAGAGTGAGTCTCACAGAGAGATAACAGAGCACTCAATCACTTTTATTTTTTGTTTAATCCCATAATTGGTTCAACACTTCTTCACAAATGATTCAATTGTTTGGTGGGAATCACAACATATGCTAAATGATTGCTAACTATATGTTCGCCACTATTGGGATTGGGATGTGCTCTCAGTCTCTGCTCTCCATTCCACACACAAACACACTAATCATCACTCCATACACCACACCATACTTTACCACACATACACACTTCATAACCAATTTGTTATCACTTCAAATTATCTCTAATCAATCAATATTCTTAATAAATAGCTTTAAATATAAAATAAAAACTCATTTATTCGGTAACAGCCTTTAAATTACATTTTATTAAACCAACAGTTATTCTCTCTAACAGTACTATAAAATATTAATAAAGTATTTCATGGACTCAACAAACCGATAATATATCCGTTAAATATTTGGCAAATAGTCGTAAATGAGACTAAATTTAATTCGTAGAATTAACAAACAAATAAAATGTGATCAAAAATATAAAAATTAAATTTGAAACGCTATAATATAGAATATTCCGTGTTTTTAGTACAGTATATCTAAGTTAGACACAGAATATTGTCGAATAGATTTTAATTAGAGTTAAGAGATTCAATTGAATGCAAGACTTGGAGTAGAGTGGAGTGAGACCAGGCCTGTATCGGACAGCTATCCTTACAGTGTGTGCCCTCTTTGTTGGTCAGTTCGGGTAAACCAAACCAATCGCTTGTTTCAATGTATTGGAAGTGATTGGATAATAGACTCTCAATATAAATGATAGTCTGTTTGCGATTATCATTGAAATTAAGTAATGCCTCCAAATAGAAGCCCATTGGCCACAACCATTCCTATAGACATGTATTGACACAATAAGAACATAAACTCTTAATAATAACCGTACAAGCAACATACCGGTCCGTTATGATAGTTGGCTCCATGTGCTAATTCTTTATTATCAGAATCGTTGCTATTGTCATAATCCCCACAATATTTCAAATCCCTTTACAATTAATAAATTCAATTAAATTAAATTTCAAATTACTGGTCTACGGTAGTAATCATCTCAAACCTGGGATCAAGTGTTTTGACGCCTAATGGACCGATCAATACTTCTCCAACTATTTTGAGTGCATTCATAGCATTATTCCTATCGAACAGTTCTGGCGCCACAACCATAGCTACCAAAAAGTTAGGTCTGAGTTGATAGTCCATCCATTGGATGGTTGCACCGTAAGTATCCTTATATATGAGCCGACGGTTAATGAGCTCATCATTAGAATCATCGGAAATATGGAAATATTTCTCAAAATTATCTTTAATTTTAAGCCCCCATTCCCTAAACGTAAACTCTTTTCCATCACTTTCTTTGA